ATTGACTTTTCCCCCTTTTTGTTGTTCACAGAATGAAGTTTGAAGAAAGCGAACAGGTTGATGACGGACAGCAGTCGACGTGTTGATGGTTTGGGGTTGTTGGGTCACCACCAACCCTGATGGACAGTTTGGATCAGCGTTCGGTTTCTGGTCTCATGAAAGGACACAGTTTGATTTTGGATCTTCAGCATCCAGAAGCTGCTGAATCAGTTCATCTATCTCTCGCTCATGAATTTTCTGAAGCTGTTCAGTCTCCTGCTCAGTTTTCCCCTGTTTCATCTGGTCTTCATGTCTTCTCAGCATTTCCTTGATTTTGTTCAGATGTTCTCTCTTTCTGGTGACACATTTCACCAAGTCGATGATCTGCTTGCGGTGCTTTGCTCTGGCTTCCTTCTCATTTAGCTCTTTCAGAGCCTTCAGCATGTCATATTTGCCGTCTTTGTCTATCAGTTGTTTTTCATGCACTTTTTTCAGAGCTGTAAATTCTTGGCTGTATTTCTCTTTGAACTCATTAAACTCCTCGGCTTTCCTTCTGGCTTCTTCCTCGTACGTCTCTCTTAGTTTCTCTATCTCCTTCTGATGCTTCTCAACTTGCTCTTCTCTGAACTTTGCCTCCTTTTCCGTTCTGATGTCATATTCTAGTTTCTGTTTTTCATATTCTTGTTTCAGTCTCTCGTACTCCTCTTTCAGTCGTTTCTCCTCCTTCTGCCTCCGTTTATCATCTTGTTTGTTTTTCTCCTTTAACATTTTCACTTCTTTCTCCCAGGCTTCATGTTTCTTCAGCACAGATTGATGTTTCTGGAGACTTGCTTCTGTTTTAGATTTTTTCAGTTTTTCCTCCCATTCCTCTTTCTCAAGTTTCAGTTTTCTCTTTTCTTCTTTCCTCCTCTCTTTCTCATTCATGTTTTTATCTTCAGCCTCCTGCAGACTTTGCTGTATTTCCTTGATTTTTATGTCTTTCTGTGTAATTTGTAGCTCAGTTTTTGCTTTTACCTCCATCAGTTCCCTTTCCATGTCGTCTTTTTCTTTCTGATGTTTTTGTAGTAGTCCCTCAATCTTTTGCTGCATCTCTTCTTCCTTCTCCTTCAGGATCTTTTCCATTTGTCTCCGTATCGCTGCTTCGGCCTCCTGCAGCATGTCGTTGGTGAAGCAGTCGCCTCCATTTTCCTCCACCATGGCATCAATCTTTCCGATCAGCTCTCTGACTTGAGTTCGGTTCTGGTCATGGTAGTTTTCAAACACATGGTATCTTCCTCCACAGTCCTCAATGAGCTTCTTAAAGGACTCGTCACAATCCTTTTCAATGTATTCCTTAATAGATTTATTATGATGTTCCAGTTTACCTCCATGTGTGAACAGGATGATGGTGAAGTTCTCTGAATTTTTTCCAAAACCTTCCTTTACCAGTTTTAAAGTCTCCTTCTCCTCTGGAGTTAATCGTCCGATCTGTAAGACCAGCAGGAAGACATGAGGCCCTGGAGCCAGGAGACTCATGCATTTCAGCAGCTCTTCATTCACTTCTTCATGAGACAAGCTGCTGTCAAACAGGCCAGGAGTGTCGACCACAGCCACAGGTCGGCCGTCCACTTTGCTCTGGGCTTTCTGGCAACGCTTTGTGACTGAATACTGGGCTGGTTTGGCTTCAAAGTAGTTTCCTCCCAGGATGGTGTTTCCTGATAGACTTTTTCCGCAGCCAGTCTTTCCGATCAGAACGATCCTGAGACACTCGGGTCCCTCCTTCTCTGAGTCGCCTGCAACAGAAACAGACCACAGGTTAATTTTCTCTACATGCCAACTAAAAAGTTAAAAAGTGAAAATACTCGTTGACCCAGAATGTCTTCCATAAAAACATCAACACAACGTAGAGTCGAATTTAGACTTTCATGGTAGTGAAGTGGAACCCAGAAAATAAGCAAATTAATTAATTTTGACCAATGATCAGGTAACCTAACCCTGATCATTTCGATCTAAAACGTTATTAAGCTGCAGATCTAATATGTAGATCTGCAGCTTGATAATTACAGATCCAGGCTGCCATACAGCCTACTGTGAGGTTTCTCTTAGAGTAAAAAAAAAATCATAGTTGTACTTTTTATTTTCTCCATTTGCTATTAACAAACTAAAAAATAAAATGTTTTTTTGTGTATGTAGCCCAGATCTGTGCATCTGTGGGGGTGGGCACGTGTCAGTCCACCAGAGTTTTATTGGTCAGTTTACTTTGTTCATTTTGCAGCTTGGCGCTCCAATGTCAGCTAAACGTGACTTTGCTGTGAAGCTAAATATGAACAACTGGACTGCAGCCCTGAGACGGGTAGCACTGACCCTGACAGAGCTTTTTATCCTGCATGTGCAAGTTTTTTAAATTTTATTTTGTGGTTTCGGGAACTGAAGCACTGATGGACGCCCCATCGACTCTCCATTGACAGACTGTTTTCGACAGCGTCACACTAGATTGGGAGAGTTGGTATAAATGTTTGTCAGAGACTAGAAATGAAGCAAACGTCGTTCACATCAAACTCTGGAGGTCTGGGATAAACCATCAGTGGAAGGGTTTGCTTTCCTGTCTTTATTATTTAGTATCATTTGTTAATAAAATAAGAAGCCATGGCGGTGCAGGTTTGTGTGGATCAGATCCTCGGTTTCTGTGCATCGTGTTCATGTGTCATATCAGTGTTGGGTTTCTGTGGTTTATGCGTGTTGGAGGCTTTTTCTGCAGATCAGGTGGAATGATAGTTTTGTGTGTCGCCTCTGATAATATCCTGCAGGTTCCCCTGTTAATAACTGCCTTTGCCATCTATAAATAGTTATTCATCAGGAAAGCTGTGGTTATGTAATGTTATGTTTTATGTAGGAAAACCTTTTCTAGAAGTTCTCACCTGTTAAGGCTGTTTTTGGTGCCTGGTTTGAAAGCTGGGCTTCCAGTCTGCTGATGGTTTTCTTCTGTTGTATGACTTTATCCTTGTAGGTTTCTGCCAGGATGCTCGGTGTGAAGCATTTCTGTCTCATCTTTTCCACAAATGTAATTACAGTAGAGAACTGATTCCTGTCGCTGCTGCTGACAACAACATGTCGTCCTCCACAGATCTGGAGGAGATCCTGGATGTCCGTGTCTCGCTCCAGAAATTCAACGACAGCAGGATGTTTAGGATCTGAGTCTGTGGTGAACAGGATCATTGTGTTGTTATTGACTCTGGAGCTGAATGTGTCCTGGGTGGTGTGTAACTCTCCCTTGTCTTCATCAGTGAGGGGACCCACAGGTAGGACCAGGATGAAGGCGTGGACACCCTCAGGGTCACAGAGGGAGACACACCTGAAGGATTCCTCCATCACTTCCCGCTCAGATCTTCCATGCAGTGCCGGCAGCTCCACCACAGAAAGCCAGCGTCCAAACGCCTCTCCCTGGTTTCTGACACACTCTGATATCTTGGAGACGGACTGAAGCTCTCTCTGACCCAGAATGGCTCTGGCTGCTGCCGTCTTCCCGGCTCCTCTCCTCCCAAACAGAACCAGGTTTAAAGGTGGCAGAGTCTCGTCACGTCTTGATGCTGCTTTTTCCTCTCTGATGGTCAGGAAGGAGCCTCTGTTTTTGTTAACAATATCTTCAATCTTCAGCATTAATTTCTGGTGATTGTTCTCAGCCATGTTGTACTGTCGACCTTCACATTCTCTGATTAGTGAGTTAAGAAGGAAACTCGTGTCATTTGTTTCTTCAGTTATAACGACCATTGAGTGTTTAAATGCATCTTCTCCAAACAAACTCAGGCTGGTTTTCAGAGTCTGTCTGTCTTTCTCTGTGAAGTCTGAAGGTTTCACTAAGAGCAGCAGAACATTTGGTCCAGGAAGACAAAGATTCACGCAGCTTCTCATCTCCTTCAGGACTTTTTGAGACTGAAGTTCAGGAGTTTTCACGACAGTCAGTAACTTTCCATTCCACACCCCCTGCTCATCGGGCTTGGCTTGATAAAATGTTGTTAATCGAGACATTTTCTTTTCAATGATAAAGTTACAGAGTTGTGTCTTTGCTGACTGAGTTGCTCCCAAAAGCAAAATCCTTAAACCTCGTCCTGTAAAGCAGCATATGGAAATTATTAAATTAAGTGAAAGCAGCATTCAGCTTCTATGCACCACAAATCTGGAACAAACTTCCAGAAAACTGTAAAACGGCTGAAAGTTGAGATTTAAATCTCAACTTAAAACCCTCCTGTTTAGAGTTTTACTTGAAACATATTCAATTATAAATGTAACAACTTAATTTAATGTTTTGATTGCTGATTCTGTTACATGACTTTGTATTTTTCTGTTTTTATCATGTAAAGCACTTTGAAATGTTTTGTTGCTGAAATGTGCTGAACAAATAAAACTGCAGCACTAAGACCCTCATTTTGGATCCTTTTGACCGGGAGCCGTGCATTTCTTCAGACTGCAGGGACGAGGAGGAGCTTGATCTTTTCATAGATCATCTGTCTGATATTGTTTTCACAGGAAATGCTGATAGTTTTTACAAATACGTAAAAAAACATGTTTTTATAAAAGTTACATACTGCAGTTTTAGGTAGAATGGCAATTTAGCCAGAGCAAATGTTCAGTTTATGTTTGAACTTTGAAAAAAACAAGAAAACAACTGGAGTATGATATCTGTAAGTAAAATTACTCTGTGAAATTAAACTGTTTTATTGCGAAGTGATATTTGTAACCATAAACGCTCTGAAGGATGAAACCAAAATCTGTTTTTCTGAAAAAGGACAAAAGTTTAAGAGCTTTAAAAGGAACAAAGATCGGTTATGAAACCAGAAAATATTTCAGATGTAAAAACAATACAGCAATTATACTGTATGTTATCTAGTTTTTATAAATTTTAATAACATTTTCTCCTCAAGCTTTTATACACAAATGCCCTATTGTAACATTGTGGAATAAAATGTAAGCTTTTTGAAAATGTATTAAAAATAGCAAATTGTGAAATCACATGTATGTGAATAATTATAGCCTATAAATCTTAAGACTTTAGCTGATAAAATGCATCTGAATGGCTCATAATAAATAATATTCTGTGGTTTCCTGAGACAAAAACTAAAGTCTTAGTCGTGAAATTCAGACATGATGATTGGAGGAAACTCCACCATCCCTACAGTCCAGAATAATGGTGGCAGCTGCATTTCTGTTCTGAAAATGAATGAAGTCTAAACTTACATAACTATATTTTTGATTGCAAGCAGCAATAAAACAATTAAAATAAATCAACAGGTTTTCTTTGCCAGACTTACCAGCAGCAGAAGAAGCGTCTTTCATTCGTTTGATGCTCGGATGGTCGACGATTAAATGCTTTTCTTTGTTGATGCCTATAAAATCCCCAAGTAACTTCAGCATCTCAGGAATTTCATTATCTTTAAAAATGAGTGAGTTATATTTGCATCTTCTGATGAGTTCCTGTAAGGGCTCATTTAATGTTTCCTTCTGCTTAGATTTTGATATTAGAACCACTGAATGACCAAATGCCTGATCACTAAACAGTTCTAGGACTTTGCAGAGTTTCTTCTGTTGCTCATTTGTGAAGCTTTCAGGCTGAACAACCAGTAAGAACAAGTGAGGTCCAGGATCAGAGAGGCTCACACAAACTTCCACATGTTCTTTAAGTTCGGCTTCAGGAATCCTGGGGTGAAGCAGATCTGGGGTGTTGATGAGAACCAGTTTTTTCTTCTGGATCATTTTGTGGACTCTCATGGAAAAGTTTGGTTGCTCTTCAGTGTTGAAGGCAGGAGCTCCCAGAATTGAGTTTGCAATCCGACTCTTTTCTGACCAGCTGTCCCCCAACAGGATGAGCCTCAATTCTGACACTGTGAAGAAAATATACATGAAAATAACATTAAATATCATATCATCTCTCAGTCTCTGGTTTCTATATTATTTTACTGATAGAATCAATGTATGCATTGCCTACATTCAGCTTTATAATTATTTCAGATTAAATAAGCTGTTTTAACATTGAGGACAAAAAGCACATATGACAGGAACAGGTGAATTAACATACATGTTTCTCATTTTAAGGATATAAAGTCATAATGGTTGGTTTAAATAATTTAGACCAATTTGTGATCTGACTTGTGAAATGTATTTTTCATCAGTACACATCATGCAGCGCAGCAACCTGGAGTTTTCCCAAACTTACACATGGGTGGAAGGAACTCTTTGCTTCCTCCTCTCCTCATTTTGAGTTTTCTTTCTGAAACAGTTAAAATGATGGAAAAAAACTTAGTACTGTATTTTGTTTTGTAGTTTGCAAGTATTTTATTGTTTAAGAGCTTATAGAATAATGACTGGAAAGTTATGGGAACTGCCCTGTGCTGTGAAAGGGAAGCTTGTCAGTTGTCAGTCCAGTTAATCCAGAGGTCACAGAGAAAATCATCATGATGTGACATCTTATAAAATGATGCAGGCCTGTAAAACAGGACTTGTTCTATCTAAAACAGGAGGACTTTGATTCAGACGAAGAGCAGGAGAAAGTGGTTTAGTCAGGAGAAAATAAAATATTGCTTCTTGCATGAACTCAATCCACTACGTTAAAATAAAGTGGAATAAAGTAACGTTAAGTCCTTCACTGTCACATATGGAGGAGGAAATAAGCTGTGGAGCCGTTTGTCCACCAGGGGACAGAAACCAGCAGAAGACAAGTCAAAATTAGAATCCAGACAGAAATGAATTAACTTATCGCTTTCTAGACAACGATACAGTAAAACAACAGTATCCAGCAGTCATCAAGAAATTAGCAATAAATTCTAGTAGTTACTTTAGACTTACTCTCCAAGTTTACATGGAGAATAATCTGTATTTATCTCCATGTATCCAGATGAATTTCCTTCAAACAGAAAATTGTTAAATGTGATTTTATGTCACACAGAGTCAAGACAAAAATTCATGGAAAATCCATGATACATTTAAAACACTTAACAAAAATATTCTCAGATTTATGGAAGCATGTTGTTGTATTTAGTTTCAGTGGCACTTTAGAAAATAAAATGTTAACTGTAAATTTATACCTTATTTGACCAAAGAAATACTAATAAAACATTCATACTTCCAAAAATTATCAAAATATTCTCAAATATTTTACATGTGGAAAAAAATATGTAAAAAACAAAAAACAAAACAAAACCGCCTAAATATCTCAATTAACAAATAATCTAAAAACATGTTTCAAAATAAAATAAACTCTGAAATGCCTGGCATATAATTAATTTAACAGACAGAAGGGAATCCTCAGATCTGAATGTTTTATAGACAGGATGGATCTGAAGAGGAACAAATTTCAACATGTTGGATCAAACAGTCGACGCTGCTACTGCTGGGATTAGAGACAAACTTCAGGAACAGTAACTGCATGTTTTCATATAGACTGGCTCAGTACTTTAGGAGTCATGACAGAAACATGGCCTGAATGTTTTTCCTTCTAAAATCTGGGAGTTTTTACAAATATTTTCCAAACATTAAAAGTTAGGCCAACAAGCCACGCCCACTTTGAACAATCATTACCAAACTGATAATATTGGTTGTATCCTGAAGAAACCCACAAAATTCATCCAACCGTTTTTGCTTTATACACAGCTCAAAAAAATAAAGGGAGCACTCAAATAACACATCCTAGATCTGAATGAATGAAATATTCTCATTGAATACTTTGTTCTGTACAAAGTTGAATGTGCTGACAACAAAATCACACAAAAATCATCAATGGAAATCAAATTTATTAACCACTGGAGGCCTGGATTTGGAGCCACACACAAAATTAAAGTGAAATGTCCCCTTTATTTTTTTGAGCAGTATACATTTGACCTACTTATAGCGCCCCCTAGAGCTGGACGATGCTGGAAATGGACACAAGCACTTTATTCGCGGTGGCCAAAGTAAATGTGATGCAGAATCATCCAAGGATTAAAACTGTTTAGGGGAAGGGCCTATTGTTAAGGAGTTATTAGCCAAAACACATTGTTCTCCACAATAGCGCCACCTAGGTATTAAAGGGTGAGATTGTTTTAATTCTGATTATCAGCTGGGTTTTTTCTACCAGGTTGTCTCATCAGATTTTTTCCAGCACTTTCTGGTTCTTCCACCAACACATTTTACCAGATAATTACTTTGAAAAATGAGAAATTTGTACAATTACAACATGGTTTCCTGCAGCCAAGCTTTTTATTTACCATCTGTTCACCTCAGCTTGGACTGCCGATAATTCAGGTTAACATTAAAGGGTTAAATCCTGCATCAGCACAGGTACAACAGGTACAACACAATAAAATGTCATAACTTACTATAAATATTTTACGAGTCAGGAGTGGCTGTGGTCAAGGTTTGCTTGGTTCACAGCCAATAAAACACTTGAACATAATTATAATATGATGAAGTTACTTGGTTTGTTTTAATGTCTCTAAGACAGTTTGAGGAAAAAAAGTTTGAACACAAGAGGAAAAATGCAGAAACATTATTCTTATAATACAGGATATGTTTTAATTGTTCCCCAAATAAAGATGAACAGTTTGTAGGAAAGACAACATTTTCATAAAGTTCATTTATTCTGTTAAATGAAGCTAATAATGATTAATAGTGTGATAGTTTAGTTTTGGACTCACCAGATGCTCCTGAGGCCATGATGACACGTCACCAAATCAGGTTTACATTCAGTTCACCTAAAACAGAGAAACTGAGATAAACTAGAGAAAATCCTAAAAACTACAAGATACAAACCAAATAAGTTGGACTAGCAGTGTCCAGAGTTCAGATATTTATATCAGAACATGATATAAATCTGTTCTTCTCCAGGTTCTGTTTCAGTCTAATAAGTTAATCTGTTTCATCTCTAAGGCTCAGGTTTAACACAGCAGGATTCCAGTGTGTGTCAGTTCAACGTCAGGAAAGATCAGCAATGACCCTGGAAAAGTAACTGCTGCTGTTCATTCACTGGGAAAAGACATAAAGTCATTTCCAAACTAACTAAAATCCATCATTAGGCACAGAACAAAAATATTTAAGGAGAGATTATAATCTTGCCAGAAGTCGACGTCCCAGGTGATTCAGTCAGAGTGTAAAACTGTAAAACTGTTGTCAGACTCTACAGTTTGGCCAAGTACACTAAAATATCCACCAATGTTAAAGAGGAAACCATCTTAGTACCATCACAAACGTAAACATCTACAGTCTTCCTTTTCTGCACCAAGAAAAATGAATATTGCTCCTGAACTCACTGCTTTCATCAGCCACATTTAATAATTCAGTTTTCTACACAAAGTGCATTAAACTGATGCGTTTCTGTCCATTTACCTGATAATCATTTCAGGACTGGAAGAGGATGGCCTATCTCTGTTGGTCATTGGGAGAAGATGTTAGTTCTTGTTCTGCAATAACGTCAATAAATATGATTATTTATTGTCAATAAATATGATTATTTATTGTCAATAAATATGATTATTTATTGATGTTGTATCTCAAATGACACTGAAGTAACTTGAAATTCAAGTAACTGCTTGTATCTCAAAAAGTTACTTTTCAGTTAATGAAACAAAACTGCCTTTTTAAATGTTCATTTATATTGTTTAGTCTAAGGTGAATTGTGTTTTTAATACTTTTTAATCCACATTTACCGTGAAACATTAGACAGATGTGAAAATGAGCCATAGAGAACATGGTTCTTGTTTTCCTTTGAAAAAAATGGAGAGAAGTTTTTATTTTAAGTCTGACGATAAAAATCCCTCTAATCCTAATTTGCTACCAGATCAGTTGATCTGACAGTCACATATTTAATCATTACTTAATGTAAACTACCTTTATTTAGAAACAGTCTAAAGCAGTTTGTAAAGGAAATGTGTTTATAAATCACATCAAAGCTCATTTGCCACAACATCTTATCTGTATCTCTGTTCTGTCTTCACTGCGGCTACAATAAAATCAAAGTTCATATAATTTATGTGAACTTTACACCTCAGACATTTGATTTGTTCCTGGATCCACATCATGTCAGCAATGCATTGAATAAATTCAATAAAGTGACTCAGTGGATCTTTAACTTCAAGAGTTTAAAGTAAAAATAGATCCGAGACATGAGACACAAAGTGTTTGTGAAGAAAACATGAAATAAACCAGTTTATCAAAGACTGTTAGCTTTACATGACCTGCTGAGTTTCATCATATTTTAAAGGTTTTGATTAGTTTTACCAACCTGACATGTCAGATAGCTGCTGCATCGTTGATTCTTCGTGTTTCTTAACGAACGTCTTCAAGCTGAAATTGAATCTCTCTGGTCTCCTCTGGTCTCCACCGGCTCAGTGGGAGGAACAGCAGGACGAGGTAATGTTTAACCTGAATGTAGTAAATTAAGCTGCTCTTGTTTTCCAGCCTCAGTTTGATCCAGTCATTAGCTCTAGAGAGGCTGAAGACATTTAGTGTGAGGCAGCTCTCTCTCTCCTTCCAGCAGCCACATATCCCCTCATCATTTCTACCTTCAGTAATAATCTGGTAAAGTTAAACACTCGTTCCGTTCCTGTGTCTGATATTATGTTCACTGGTGGAGTTTCTAGAATGATTCCCTCCAACTCCACATGTTGGACATCATAATCTGGATTATTGACTTTTCTAGGGAAAGGAGCCACTTCATCATATACATATATATATAGATATATATGCATGTTGTCATGTAAACCATGTTCTGTGTGTAGGAATGTGGCACACAAACCTCTTTCTTTAATCTGAATGTTTTCTACTTACAGCACATCTCACTTCGTCTTGGTTTCACATCCTGAAGATGTGAAGAGTCTAATCAAGCTTATTGTTGAAGTTTTACCATCTAGAAATAGTGAACTGAAACTTTGAAAAGCTCTAATTTTTCCTCTCTGATCACTTTTCAAACAAAAAGACAAACTTCATCAATAACAGAAAATCTCCCAGATGAAATATTTACTGACAAAAAGGGAGAAAAAATGTTAATTTTTATTCATAACCAGTTCAGCAAATTTTGTTCCAAAAAAATAAAAAATAAAAAATAAAAAATCAGAGGATACTATAAAACCAAATATTGAAAGAAATAAAGAATAAATATGAAAATTTTTGTAATAAATAATTTAAGTAATTATTTCTAGATAATCTAATTAGAATCAGGTGGTTCACTAATTGCTTCAAAAATAAGTTGTTAAATTAAATGAACATTTAAAAATATCTCATGTATTACAGCTGTTCTGTCTTGATGGTCATGAATCAGTTTAACTGGAACCATTTTCTGCTCAGGGCCCCAGAAACTCTTTGTTCGCCTCTGGCTGCCGGTGCTCCACTGGTTTGTTGGTTCAATAAAGATTCATGTTTAAGTTAAAATACTCTGATGTTCCCCTCGTGATCCCACTAGGGATAAGTCAGAGGTTCCCAAACTGTGGGGGGCGCCGTGCCATTGCAGGGGGGGCACAGGATGGATGAAATAAAAAAATAAAAAATAAAAATAGAAACAATGATAAACGCTGTGTGTGCTGAGGGGTAGGGGGTGGGGTGGAAGAGTATAACAGGGAGTCTCTAAGAGTCTGTCTATCCTCCCCTCTCCCCCCGGTCAAACATTGTTTCAATCAGAAGACCAAAGTCTAACTCTCCCTATTGTAATCCACTGGGGGGCGCCCAGGAGAAAAAGTTTGGGAACCACTGGGTTAAGTGAAAGAGATTGGATGCATCATGGATGAAATATTCCATTATGGATCAACTGTTACCCCGCATCTAAAGAACAGAAGTGTTTGCATTAATTGCGCAACCTGAGCAACAATCAGCGTCACTTTCCTCAAGTGCGTCAGTCTTCAAACTGTAGAGAAGCTTTACAGTTACCACATAGACAAAATCAAGTTCCTCGTCCGCCTCCTCTCCCCTACTGATGAAGATGTCTTTTTCTTTCCTGGGCTCTTGAGGCCAGAGTCCCTCAGGAACTGGTTTCAACATCAAACGGTGCACTGTCCTGAGCCTCTGAAGGTTATCCAAGGGGGCAACAGTGTACACAGAACCTCCTGAAACAGGAGCTTTTATCACAGCATGGATTATGGGATTCCATGCGTCCTGGATCTTGTTTCTTCCTTTATTACTGTGATCTTGAACATAGACCAGTTGCTTTTCAGACAATTCACTGGTCAGACCTCCAGCATCATGGCACTCCTCCAATGGTCAGCGGTCATTTTCAGGCGATCTTGAGCACCATCAAAGGCGACCTGGAGTCTGTGTCTATGTTCTCGTACCCAGTCCTCCACTCTCCCCTCTCGGATCTCTTCCAAAGAGAAAGCAAACAGGTAACCATGGCTCTTGGCCAAACATCAAAAGGTAAGGAGACTCACCCATGGACTGATGGACTGTGGTGTTGTAGAAATACAGAACTTGGGACAGATAATGGGGCCAGTGTCCCTTCTTCTCAACAGGTAGAGTTCGCAGCAGATCAGGTAATGTTCTATTAAATCTTTCACACTGGTCGTTACCTTCAGGATGGTACTGGGTGGTACGAGTCTTCTGCACTCCATACAGCTCACACAACTGCTGGATCAATGCGCTTTCAAAATTCTGGCCCTGATCGGAGTGTAGTCTTGCTGGAACACCAAACTTATCCTCACCCCCATCAGGACGTTGTGTACGGCGATATAACAGGCCATTCAGCTGGACCACCTTGCTCCACTGTTGAAGCAGATCCAGGACCTTTGGGGAGAGACTGGCCCTTTCTGCTTTATCTGGACGTCTCTGTGTCCTCCACGACTTTAGAAAAGCACTTATAGTAGGATCAGCTTCTTGAAGTTGTCGAGAAAACTGGCATGGACTTGTGAGATCTCTCTAGGTACACGCAGAAAGCAGGGTAAAAGCCTGGGGAATAACAGTAATCTTGTATTGATTTAAGAATGATTAAAGAAATGAAATACAAAATACATAACTGTGTAATAGTTTAAATGGTTGATGTATTGTAAATGTCCGTAATGTATGACTGAAATATATAATCTGTATTCATGATCTGTGGTAACAGTAATAACTTAGTCGTTATATACGATTTCAGATAATGGTAAAACAAATTGATTGTGTTTTGAGTTAAGTGTGTTACATGGTACATTATAAGAAGACTGTAGAGTTGAATACAGGAAAAGCTGAGCTGGCTGGGCGGGGGCCTCAGAACAAATTGCCAAAAAAGGTAATAACTACCAGATGGCCAACAGAAGAGAGAGACGCAAAAGAGGGAAGTTTGTGTATTACCAATTCAGGGTGGAACAAGGTTTGGGTANGCCGTAACTTCTGGATCTGAAGGTAGTTAGAGCTAGACGAGTTTTCTCCGCCACCAGTTTAAACAGAGAATCTCCTGTACACCTATTTTAGGGTAAGACCCAGGTTTCAGGGGTTTTCCGGACCTGTTAGACAGAGAGCTGGTCAGTAGTCAGTCGGTGGTGAGATTAAGGCGCGGCTGGCTATTGCAGAATAACGAACAAAGTGCAATGATGTCATCAGGGGCATGAGCAGGGAACACAGACACTGCAGCTTGGAGCACATGTTGCGTTACATCTAGACAGCTTGGCTGCTTCATCAAGGGAACCAAGGTCCCAGGCAGAGGAATGACAGCCTCTGTTACAGCTGGTGGCTTCCTTGAAAGGGCATCTGCATTCACATTTGACCGGCCTGATCTGTAACTGTAACTTCTATCTGTAGATAGAAAAGTTAAAATCTGCCAACTGTGCTGCCCAACGCTGTTCGGTTGCCCCCAGTTTAGCTGTGGTTGAGGGGATTGTTATCAGTCCATACAATACATTGCTGACCCAACAAATAGTCTTGAAATTTCTCCATCATGGCCCACCTTAATGCTAGGAACTCTAACTTCATTGAACTGTAGTTGGACATGTTCCTTTCAGCAGGTCTGAGCCTCGGCTAGTGAAGGCAACTGGACGGACCTTCCCTGCCTGCTCCTGAGAGAGCACTGCTCCTAGGCCGCTGTAACTGGCATCTATTTCAAGGATAAATGGCAAAGAGAAATTTGCATATGCCAAAACAGGCGCACCAACCAACCTGGTTTTCAACTGGTTGAAGCCTTTTTCACAATCTCGAGACCGGTGGTCACCCAAATGTTGTTGTCGCTGACGACCTTGTGTCTTCTGCATCTCGGCAACCAGTCGATGGAGTGGTGCTGCCAATTTGGCAAATCCTTCAACGAATCCTCTATAATAGCTGGCGAACCCCAGGTTCGCCAGGTTCGCCAGCTATTAACTGTGTCCCACCACAGTTTCTCAGCTGTGAAACTGTGGTGGGACAGGCCAGTCCTTTACAGCAGAGACTTTATCTGGATCTGTGGACACCCCATGGCTGGAAATAACATGGCAAAGGTATTTCACCACCTTTTTGAAGAAAGCACATTTATCGAGCTTCACTTTTAATCCCTCCTGTTTCAAATGGTCCAGCACAGTTTCCAATCGATGCAGATGTTCATCGACTGAAGAAGAGAAAACCACAATTTCATCCAAATATAACAACAGGGACTGACAATGCTGAGATTGAAACATTCGCTCCATTAATCGTTGAAATGTACTAGGAGCATTGCTCAGGCCAAATGGCATTCTGTTAAATTGAAACAAACCAAAGGGTCTACATCAGTTTCAAAATAGCCAACATAAGGTAAGCTAAGCCCATTGGCTGCATAAAGCTCAAGCCAAGAGCAGGCCTGCAAAAGGCCCTGACAATGTTCGTTAAAGAAACTCTCTGTGACTGTTACCATGGAACCAGTATCCAAAAGACACTGAAGTGGAACATCCCCCATTTTCACCAGGACAGTGGGACACTGGCCAACCAATGGTGAGAATTTGTTTTCAAGACCACTTGAGCCATGACCGCTCTCTTCTGAATTGTGGCTCAGCTCAAAAGGAACTAGTTTCCCGCCTGCTGATAAGCAGTTGCAGCCTCTCCTTGTAGTGGAGTTGGATGGGGCAGAGTTCATCCTCGGTTGGTTACAGTTTCTGGCTATATGACCAGGTTTCTGGCAGCGCCTGTAAGTAATAGGGGTGGTTCGGTTCAGATATGGCCAATGTGGGGACCTTGAGGTGGATTGTAATGGTAATACATTTTGAGAGAGCAGGTTAGTCTGTTCCTGTTGCTTTAACAGCATTTCCTTTATTTCTGACAAATCAGAAGCCCTTCAAAGAACCTCTAAATCTGGTCTACTGCTTTGTAAGGCACAATATGATGGTACAGAGTAGCTTCTTTTTCTCACTTCAGCTGGTTGTCCCTCCTGTTCCCACCTAATTGCTTCCTTCCTAATGTCCAAAAGTGTAAACTCTGGGTTTTCTCTAATGAGCTTTTTCAGTTCCCTACGTAAAGTAGGATCAAGAACATGTTCAGCAAACTGGTCTCTCAAAAGCACGGCATCATTAGCAACAGCATTTGGTGCATTGGCAGTAATCTTTTCCATTAAACAAAACAGTGCATGAGAAAACTCCTTTAATGATTCGCCCTCCTCCTGTCTTCTAGAAAAAAAATCTTCCTGCAAAGTTACATAAGACTTAGCACAACCATACAATTCTTGCAAAATGGCAAAAATGCGTTCAGGGTCCTCTCTTTCAGCCCGGGGTCTATATCGAATCTCCTCCTTGGCTTCACCTTCCAGGTGATCAAATACAAAATAGGCTTGGTCTAGAGGAGATAGATGTCTGGCCCACTGGATCCATAACCTCGATCCCAACATTACCTCTGAAAACAGGACATTTACGTTCCCTTGGGATGTAGAAGAGCCGCTCCATTACAGGCACTTCCACTGCAGAGACAGGTTGGGGACAGTTCCCTCTCACACCACTAGAGGTAGATGGTAAAGAGTCTTGATCAGTCATAACCTTTTCTTTGAGTTCTTGGTTCTTTGCCTGAAGATGGTGCATCATGTCCTTCAGCTCCTGAAGCTGCTCCTCCATGGTTCCACAGCATAGAGTTCCTCTCTCGTTCCACCACGGATCGATCGGACTTGGTGGTCCCCGCCGAACCTGCTACTGTTTCAGTAAAGAAAATAAAAAAAGAAAACTACTCCTACTTAGCCCTATCCTACGCAGTGAAACAAACCCCTGCAAGCATGTGCCACTTCTTACAAAATCCTGCCAGCAACACCAGATTGTGGTACAGCTTTTGTTATGTGTGGAGAATCTTTTCATTCTCTAAAGTGAAACCAGTCAACGGCTCTCTGTACGTCTCTCTAGAAGTATTTTTACCTCTCTGCTAGAGTCATCAGCCTGGGATCTGATCTCCTCAGAGATCTACCTGCTTTTAAATGTAAATACTGATTTCCTGTCTCCCTAGCAAACCAGCTGCGGTCTGTCACAGCGTCTTCCATGTATGATACATAGATATAAGTTATGCCACATCTCCACCTGCTGGAGAGCAAAAGAAACAACAAGTGTCTCCTGTAAAAAGACGCCAGGGCCTCATGTATGAAGCAGTGAATGCACAAAAAATGTACAGTACCATATTTTACACACAGGTCGGCATGTGATGCAGCCTCGTTGTTTATAGGAATAGTTGTTTGGTTGCAACAAAGACTGTTTAATGCAACATTCACTTCCAGTAGCTGAAGTGAACACAGGATCAGCTGTTCCCCCTTCTGCCTTCAGTGACTCTCATCATTTTACAAATTGATGAGGATCTTTAGTACAGTGACATTTAATACAAGCTTTTTATGTAGCTGTAATTAAACCTTTCCTTATAAAATCTTTCCTCAATAAAGATAATTTAATAAATTAGAGACCTAAAGATAATCTTCCTTTCCCATAAAAACCTTGAGAAAGGTAGTTACTTCTAAATAGTAACATGTTTGAAGAGTTTCTGTCAGGTTTCAGAGATCATCATAGCTCTGAAACAGACCTGCTGAAAGCTGCTAATGATATTTTTCTTGGCCTCAGATGAAGGTCTGGTGTCGGTTCTGGTTTTTCCAGATCTCAGTGCTGCTTCTGGTCCAAAAGGTGGGGCAAATATTAAGACATAGGTACCATTATTTTAGTCCAGGCCTGTTTTATTAGTGTGGTTTTTATGATGATCCTGTTGAAACACAATTCAAAATCAATGTCTGATTTTCATCGGTTCATTTTCAGTAAATTTTGTAGTTATAACTTTTGTCAGTTTTAAGTTATTCCAGAGACCATTGTGGGCTTTTCAACCATAAATGGACTGAAATACCAAACTGTAAGCAATCAGAAGAAGATGTGTTGCTGAAAGGTTTAAGGATATTATGGGGGAAATAACAAATCAGTTAAACTTTAAACAAGTGGATCAGACCTGGTAGGATATTCTTTGGTTCTGTGTCGGCTGGTTGATCTGTTGTGTTTCTCTTGTCGTCTTTAACTGTGGACCATTCACTGACTCAGTAACCACTGCACTGTGTTGGCCCACTAGGAGGGCCAACATCATGGACGATGGGTTACAGACAAAGAGATTTTCTACCTATTTGGGAAACATTAAACACCAAGCCAATGTTTTATTTCAGTCTGTCCAGTCAGTTTGTCATACAGGGTGTCAGAAGAAGAGAATAAAAAATCCTGTCATGTTTGTGCTTAGAGCAGCTTTTAGCCAAACATCCTGCAGTGACAGACACAGCTTAAAGACTTTAACAGAATACAATGATTAATTAGAGAAATATGGACATATATAAAATGTTTTCATAATGTTTTAAACATTTAATGATAAGAGCTTTATAATGACATACAGTACAAGATGCATGGATGGTCCAAACTGTTTTATCTACAAGAAGTTCAAAGTCAGATTCACAGAATTATTTACATTTTGAACATTTTGAAATCAGTCACATAGTTATGAAACATACACACAGTTATCAGCCATTTATGATTTTAGCAAAGGCTGAGTAGCACAAGATTTTAATGCCTCTGGTTGTATTCACCAGTCAGCAGGATGAAATGCATCAGTGCTGCTGTAAGACCCAGCTCTGCCTCTGAGCCACACAGGACCTAATCTATTTTCTATAAAGACTTGTGTCTGACATGTTTGCTGAAAATAATTAATATTCCTTCAAAATACTGAAAAACAAATATGAAGATAAACTTTGAGTTCTTATAAGACTTTATGTCTCTATTTTTATCATGTAAATGTAACTTGAGTTCTCCTGTGTTTAAATAGGGATGAATTATTACTGGAGTTTGCATGTTTTTTCCAGGTGTTTAAGGACTGGTACATAAGAGTTGTAGATCTTTGCCATTCCTCCCAGCTTTGCTTGCTTTCTAACTTCTTCCATGAATATTTTTCTCATGTTTTCCATTTCTCTCTGGTGTTTCTCCTCCAGTTGTCTGATCTGCTTTTCATACAGTTCTCTTTGAATGTTTTCTTCAGTTCTTTTAGAGTTTTCATATTGTTCCCTTTTCTTTTCATATTCTTCTTTGAGGTTATTAATTCTCATCTCCTCTCTCAGCTGTCTCTGTTTTTCTTCCTCATGTCTTTTCTCCCACCACTCTTGTCTTTCTTTCTCCATCAGCCTTTGCTTCCCTTTCAGATCTCGTCTCTTTATCTCCAGGGATTGGTCAGTACCTCTACTATATAATCCTGATTGAATTCTTTTCTCCAAAGCTACCAGCTCATTCATCAACTTCATCTGTTCCATTTCTTCTGTTATTTCCCTCTTCCTCTCTTCTTCCTCTCTATATTCCTGCTCTTTCTTTCGCTGCTCATTTTCTCTCCTGATATTTTCCTTCAGTTCTTTGAGTGATTTTCGTTGCAGTTCATTTTCTGCTTTCTGTGTTTCAAGTATTCTGTTCATGATCTCTTTTTCTGCTGCATGTTTTCTTTCAAGTTCTTCCATCTTTCTCTTCATTTCTTCTTCTCTGTCTAGAATTTCCTGCATTTTCTTCTGTATAGCAGCTTCAGCCGCCTGCAGCATCTCGTTGGTGAAGCATTGTCCTCCATTTTCCTTCACCATGTCATCGATCTTTCTGATCAGCTCTCTGACCTGAGCACGGTTTTCTTCAGCATGATTATTAAACACATGGTATCTTCCTCCACAGTCAGCGATCAGCTTCTTGAAAGAATCGTCACTTTCCTTCTGAATATAATCTTCAACAGTGATGCCATCTCTTTCTAACAAATCTCCTCCGGTTAAAAGAACGATGGTGAACTTCTCTGAATCCTTCCCAAAGGTTTTCCTGATCATTTCTATCGTTTCCTTCTCCTCTGGTGTGAATCTGCCGATCTGAACAACCAGCAGGAAGACATGCGGACCTGGAGCCACCAGAGTGACACAACCCACCAGCTCATCCTGAATCTGTTTCAGACTCAAACTGCTGTCAAACAGTCCAGGTGTGTCGACCACAGAAACTGACCGTCCATCTATTTCAGTCTTTTCCTTTATGCATTGCTTTGTGACGGATCTTTGACTTGATTTTGATTCAAACTCTTTTCTTCCCAGGATGGTGTTTCCTGCTGAACTCTTTCCACTGCCGGTCTTCCCAATCAGAACTATTCTGATGTTGTTTGGATCCTCTTCGTCAACTGTGGGATGAAATACATGAAATTAGAAAATGTCAGAAACACACAAAGGCAACAATAAACTGACACCTGACTGATCTGAAACAAGGACAGAAGTGTAGTCTCAAAATCCAGTTAAAGTGTCCTGTAACTTTGAGATGTCTCTCTGTTTCAGCACATCTGGCTATTGATGTACCTCATCAATAGCCAGATATCAATTAGTGAGGGGTGAGCTGCAACCTTTTCCAAAATAGAAAAGACCATCTGATCAAGAAAAGATGAAAGACCTGTATGACAAGAACGCTGAACACCATGTCTTTCTTTCAGGTGACCAAGTACTGTTCTTAGTTCAGCATTTGAAATAGATGTATGTCGCAAAACTGCAATGGAAACACTTTTTTGAGATCACACGAGTTACATGGTCAATAAGCAGATGTTGGCACTGGTTAGTAAATAAGACAACAGGAAGTAATAGGAGCTCAGGGTCTTGCTGCTCTAACACCTTAATAAGACACAAATGTCTCCTCTGATTGGCTGACAGAGGATAAGCGCTGGCTCCACAGCTGAATTATGCAAATATCTCATGTAACTGTTTACATCCATCACTGCCATGATTATTAATGACTTATCACAGCTTATTCAGGTGTGATTTTAATTTCATTTCTTATTTAATGGAAGCACCACAATTGCAAAATTGTGGGGGAGGAGGGTTTACATTAGCAGAACAGCGACAAAAATGTTGGCACATACACTGAAAAAAAGAAATTAGTTGAACCAACTTAATTGAATTGCTTGAAACAAGTAACAATAAACCTGCATTAAGACTGCACTCTAAATAGTGTATTGAGTGTTTATTTAACAAACTCAAGTTAGGTTCATCCAACTCATTTTATTATTATTTTTAAATTGAATTCATTAAGTATAAGAATAAGACAGATTTAAGTCAGTCTTATTCAAAAAATTTACTTTACTTCAAATAAAGATAAACTTAATAAATTGAGTTGGGTAAACTTAATTTAATTACTTATTACCAATTGAAGCAAATCAATTAAATTGGTTCAACTACCATATTTTCCAGTCCATAGAGCGCATCTCACTATAAGTTGCAGTGTTTTTACTGGAAACATACATAAGCTGCACTGGGCTATAAGCCGCTGGGTCCATGTATTTTCAGGCAGTTATTTTTTTCGTTTGAAGTGAAAAATAAAAAGACAAAAATAGACTCGTTTTTTTGTTTATTAAACCAACATAACCAGACCCTGCTGGTTATTTATGAAAAACCGCTCTTGGTTTTTCATAAATAATTAAGGTCGTAGCCCTCCGTCTCCAACGCCGAATCATGGATTCCTTCACGCCAATCTTACGTGCAGCGGCTCTATTTCCCTCCTGTACTGGTAGATCGATAACCTTCAACTTAAAAGCTGCATCATATTAACTTCTTCGTGTTGTTTCCATGATGAGGGTGTATGAATTTAAAAACATTTCTCCATCGTGCCTGCTGCTAGCATCTGCTTGTTCTAAATGAAAACAGCACGTTCTTCTTTGATTTCCAATTTTGACTTGAAATGAGCCCTGTGACAGACTGGCGACCTGTCCAGGGTGACCCTGCCTCCCGCCTGGAACGTTAGCTGGAGAGGCAGCAGCAACCCTCCTGACCCCACTAAGGGACAAGGGTGTAAAGAAAATGGATGGATGGATGGATGGATGGATGGATGGATGGATGGATGGATGGATGGATGGATGGATGGATGGATGGATGGATGGACTTCCAATGATTCACTTTCTGCTAAAGAGCCCCCTGGTGGTTGAAGAAAAATCCACAGAAAAGCTTCACCGGGTTATAAGCCGCATGGTTCAAAGCTTAGGAAAAAAGTAGCGCCTTATAATCCAAAAAATACGGTAGTTTCTTTTTTAAGTGTATGTGTGAAACTGTTTTCAGGGATAAGAGACTAACATTAGTCAGGTAAAGAGTTTACATGTTTACACCATTCTTTAATTACTTAGGTACTCAGGTAATTTTGATCAATGTGAAAATTTGATTAGAAAAACATCGCAGCAAACCAAAAAGAGAAAGTTATAGTTCTTTGTTTCTGTTCATCTTCATACTAAGAACTAAGAGATCAGTCAGAAGTCAGATTTACAGTATATAGTTTATAATATGCTTCATCAGCATATTCATAGATGTAGGAATCTTACCTCTCCACGTTGACAGGATGTCCTGGCCAGTACTGAGTCCTCTCTCTTCAGGCTCCCTGACAGATTCCTGGCCTGGTGGCAGCTGGGAGACTGAGAAACAGAAGAGCTGTTTTATTTTAACATTGTGCTTTTGTATTTCCCTAAATGGTGATAAATTGTGCAGATGCTCATAGAAATGTTCAAACATGGCACATTTTATAACTGAATTATATATTTTTTATCAATAAATGCTGCTCCCTTTCATTTTGGTTCTGGCCCTGTTGGGTCCAGCTGAGTTTATAAAATCAAACAAAAGAAATCTCACCAATTTCCTGCAGGTGCATAGATATTATTTTAGTCATAAAAACACTCATCAAATGTCCAAGATGACAAAAATCTAAAACAATGTATTTAAATGATCAACTAGCAAAGTAAGTACTATAAAATACACACTAAATTTTTTTTAATCTAATTCCAGAATCATTCAGGAATTAGATAAGTGATTCTGATTTAAAATGATGTGATGCTTTCACTGTTGAAAGCCTGAAGTAGGTTTTGATTTCTGGTTAAAGGAGTTCTGTACCGTCCACAGATGGGACAGAAGAGACTGGATTTAGCCAAAAACAAGCTGATTTTTATCAATGATTTGGTTTTAATTCATCAATTTACTTAAGCACAATGTTTTTTTCTATAGAGTTTTCCAATCCTTTCAGGCCTTCAGCCTGAGAGAAAAAGAGTTTTTTAAATTAATTACCAATGCTTACACCCTGCATTTTGAGAATATTGAGCATAATATGGATGAACTTAAGATAAGCAAAAATATACAATATTCAACTCACAGTCCGGCGGAATAAATTCCAGGCTGTTCCTGCGATTCTCAGTTCTGACATCATCTTCTACAAAAAAATAAAAATAAAAAATACAGCAATGTTTTGTAAGTCTTAACCACTGCGGGCCGCGAGAATGAGACCTCTGGTTTAGAGCTTTAAACCAAACACCTCAGAAAGGAGAGTCATGGCTCTACACTCTGGACATGCCTCTGGGATCTCCTGTATATTCTATTAATACTTTAGAAGGTTCAGCTCTTGCTTTTATAGATATATTAAACATAAGAAGCAAAGTCCCAGCCACCAAATCTGTTCTTTATGACATTTTTTCCAATCAGCTGATTTTTTTCCAGTTCTTTATGCAACTAAATAACCAATAAGAGTAAAACTACAAGCAAAAACAATCAATTGCAGTAATAGGCAGAAAATCCTTCTGCATAAAAGTCAGAAATTGTTGTAAATGCATGGTCTGTCATTGGTATTAAATTATTTTTAGCGTTTTTGCCAATACATACCAAGGCTTAGAGAAAATTTCAAAGGTGAAGGAACTTCTGTGAGGCCACAGCTAACATGGTTTCCATGGTTGTTTGTCAAAATTAGACTCAGGTTGTTCATCAGTCCTTTGGGGTCTTGTTGCAGTTTGATCCACCTGTTTCCATTCTTTCTGATCAGATCCTCCATAGGCCTCAGGCGAAACACATGACTTGAATCTGGTATTTTCTCTTCCCATCCAGGTGTTGAGATCAGAACCAGTGAATGTTTCAAAGAGTCTTCACTGAAGAGATCCAGAATCCTACAAAGCCTCTGGTTCTGTTGGTCATTGATGTTCCACTGGACAACCAGCAGAAACACATGAGGTCCAGGAGCAGAGAGACTCACACAATGCTCTACAAATTCTTGAAGTTTGGATTCAGAGATGCTCGGGTGTAGCAGGTCCGGTGTGTTTATCAGAACTGTTCTTGTTGTTTGAATCCATCCATGGACTTTGATGGATCTGTTTGGTTCCTCCTGTGTGTTGAACACATTCTGACCCAGCAGGAGGTTGGCCACTGAACTCTTATCATACCAGCTGTTACCGAGCAGAACAAGCCGCATCTCATGCACTGAAATAATAAAGGAAAATGTTTTACTCAGAGAATACACAACCTTTTAGTTTATACTCAGTCATGATTAATATGGAAATAAATTGTTTATGATTGAAAATACTTATGTTAATGACTTTTTCAGTATTTAGTAATAAAATTATTATATTTTCATAACATTTAATCTTTATTCTTTGTGTAATCAGCATTATTTTTATTTACTTGATTTAAATCTTCACCATTCTTCATGATTTCTAAATTTGTATGTAGCTTATTCTGAGGTTTTTCTATTTCAAAATAAAACAAAACAAAAAAACAACAAATAATCTGGTGTTAATTTAAATTAGAAAAATGACAATTTGATCATTTTTGTCCCATTTTAATGGTTAAAGCAAAAACAAGTTTCTGCACAGTGGCGCGGATGGTAGACCTGTTGCCTTGCAGCACCTGCCCTTTTTGCTCCTTGCCCCCAAGTGCCCTTTTGGTCAGTTTTTTTTTCTATTATTATT